GAGGCCGGGCCTGAGGTGGGTCTGTGTGTGTGCTTTGGGCCTTTGCGGGGGAGGGTGCTGAGCCTGGGGAGGAGGGTCGGAGAGACCCAAGTGGGGCTGGAGAATCATGGAGCCTGCAGGGGCAGCGTCCAGCCCAGGCCCTTGCACGGTGGGGAAACTGAGGCACCCGGGGCTTCTGCTGTCGGGGCGGGGGCACAGATGGCCTGCACGTGCATGGATGCATCTGGGACGGTGTGGAAGGTGGGCGGGGCACCCCGCGGCTGATGGTGGCCCGGGAGCCTTGCTGTGGCCTTGATTCTGCTCCTTCTGCACGGGGGTGCCGTGGGATTGAACGGGGGGTTCCGTGGAGCAGCTTGCGGTCAGTGCTCAGGAAATAGCCGTCCCTCTCTCCGGTCCTCCTCACCCTGACTCCCAGCTTCCTGTCCCCACCTGGCACAGCCAGTTCTCTCGGGCCGCACCCCCCCCCACCGTCACGCCCCTCCCATTCCGGTGGCCTCTAGCCTGGGACCCCGCTCAGACACCTGCAGGGCTCCCCTGCCCTCCCGTGCAGGCTCAGGGAGGCCTTGCAACAGGGGCGGGGCTGAAGCTGGCCGGGGGCCGGGGGCTGGACACCAGGAAAAACTTCCTGGCAGCAAAGGCAGTTTGGCCCTGAGAAGGTGCTGGGGGAGGTAGGAACCCGAAGAGGTTCGGGTGCTAATGGTCACTGTCCTTGGGAGCCCAAGAGCGGCAGTGGGTGACAAACTGCAGTCACCCAGGCTGGGATCTGGGGGACCAGTGACCAGACCAGTGGCATGTGTGTGGGGAGAAGACAGCCCCCTGTGAGCGCTCCTGGAAAGGACCGGCGGTGGCCGCACGAGAGCGCAGCACCAGGGGCAAGAGCGGAGCCTCCCCCAGCCCCTCACGGTTGGCCACAGCAGGCTCAGAGAGCCCCGACCGCTGGCAGAGGCCTGGGCGCTGGATGTGGCTGAGGGAGGGGGTCCGAGCCAGCCCGGGGCGCCCCCGGGCAGGTGCTGCAGGAGCTGCGGGAGCTGCCCGCCGGCCCTGCACCTGGTATGGAGCCGGCCTTCCACCGGGCCCGGACCTCCCACTCTGAGGCCCTGCCTTGGGCTCCTCGGGGCTCTGGCCTGGCCACTGGGGTCTCCCTAAGCAGTCCCCTCCAGGTCCCCTCCTGTCCCAGCCCCGGTGTGCATCTGGCCGACCCTCACATCCCAGGGAGCACACACTGAGCCCTGTTCTCCTTTTGCCGTGGGACCATGTACAAGCGTGTGACCCGTGCATGTGTGCGCAGACGCGTGTGTACACATGTACATGCCTGTGCTTTCACATGCGTGCCCGCACATGGGCATATTCCGACACGTATGTGGGCACACAGCTGCCTCCCATCTCCTTGAGGGCCCCCACTACCCAGCGTCATCTCTGTGACCCCGGCTCCCCCTGGCTCAGGTCCCACGCAGGCCACTTCCTTGCTCTCCCTGCCTGCATCTGCCCCCAGCCGTCAGAGGGACCCCAGAATGAAGATCAAATCAGGCCCTGCCCCCACTCATCCTAGGACCTGACCCGAACAGTGTCCCCTCTACGACCCCACCCCGAGCGCCAGGGCGGTCAGGACCACCCCTGGTATGCCCCCACCGTGTCTCAGCACCACTCGCCGTGGCCTGGGATAGACTCCACTTAGCCTCCCCGACGGCTGTTACGACCTGGGGCCTGACACCAGTGTGCCCCAAGCCTGCCCAGGTCTCTGCCCGCCTGGGGCCGCCTTGGCACAAGAAGGCTCAGAGGGGCCTGCAGCTACCCGAGGGGGCTCAGCTCTCCCTGACCTGCCCCTTGCCACACCCTCACCCCTGCACGGCCCCCCACACATCCCACAGCCCAGCTGGCCACTGGGACTTCTGTCTTCTCTCTCCCAGCACCCTCCCCCCACTCCCCTCCTCCCCCACCACCACCCCTGCCCTTCCCGCCGAGACCACTCTCCCCGACGGACTGCAGGGCTGCCCTTCCTGGGGGCACGGCCCTGCCTCTAACCCTCCCTGCCACCTCTTCTTGGTGTGCAGGACACAGCAGGCAGGCCGCCCCCTGCACCACCACGCCCACCGCCCCTCAGGTGCTCAAAGAGTGGAGTGAGCCAGTGATGATGAGGGCTGGTGGTAGGGATGCCGGGAGGACCTGGGCTCGGCCTGGCTCCCGCGGCCCTGGGACAGGCATCGGGTTAGGTGCGGTGCTGAGGGGCCAGCTCCGACTGGCAGACCAGGCTGTGGATCCTGGCTCAGACACCTGGCACCTACGAGTCCCACTGAGGCTGGCTCCTCTGGGGTCCCAAATGGAACCCTAACAAAGTGCCCCAGGTTACAGTTCGCTGCCGTCAACACAAAATGCCGGGCACAGGACAGAGCTCCGCAGAATGTCCCCTCAGCGCAGGCCACTGAATCCATGGAGGTGTGGAGCGCAGAGGCACACTGTCATCCCCAGCACCACATGGCTGAGCATCTACTTCTTCCAGATGGGATGACAGAGGCCCTAGAGGACCCCGTGCCTGACACAGGCCCTCAGGCCACCTCCTGCACCCACTCCTGGCCCCCCGGGACCAGCCCGCCTCTGCAGGAAGGTTATGGGATGGGCTGCCAGGGGCTGGGATGAGGGGCTGTGGCCGAGGGGGGCCCTTGGCCTGGGTCATTTCAGACTGTGCAGTCCCACTGGGGTCAGTGATGGGGCGCAGTGAGGTGGGCAGATGTATGTGGAGGTCAGTTTCTGCTGGGTTCTGCCAGCATCCCCCTGGGCCTGGAGCCTTAGGGAGAGTCTGCCCCCGGGCTGGGGGCTGGCTTCCACATTAGGTCCCAGCCTGGGACTTGGCGTGGGGGGGGCGGGGGTGCTGCAGTGGGGGCTGAGGCTCAGGAGAGTTTTCGGAACACACTGCCACCTCTCTGCAGCAAGCCTGCAGGGGGCCGACCAAGTCTGGGATTGGCCGTAGGACCCCGGCCATGGCCTCTCCATCCCCAAAATGTGGGGGCAGGTGGCCAGGACCAGGGGGCTCTGCTATGTCTACATCCAAGTCCGGCCCCAAGTGGTCTAGAGGCAGTGGGAGACCAAGGGCCAAGTGCAGAGTCTGCTCAGCTCTGCCCAGAGGTGCCAGGATGAGAAGTTTGCAAATTCTTTTCTCGGGGCACCTAAATGTCTGCCACGAAAGAGCCCCCAGAGGACCAGGTTTGGCCCAGCTGCCCCAGATCCAGAGCCCCACTCCAGCCTCCTCTCCCCTCTAGAGTCACCTCCTGCCCCAAACACGGGAAAAACCCCAGGTCTAGCTCTTACTCTCTTGCTGAGAGAGTGAGGCTTCACCCCCCGTTTTACAGATGGGGAAGCAAGGCTGGGCGGCAAGAGACTCGCCCGAGGCCACACAGCCAGGAGGGGGCAGTCCGAGTCCAGGCACCCCGACTTGGGTCTGCTCAGGGCCCAGGGCCGCCTGCTCCCAGCTCCCTGCTCCGCCAACAGCCGGTGCAGGAAGGACACCAGCCAGCTGGGCCTGGGCAGTGAGCAGGAAGCAGTGAGTCCCTGTGGGCAGGCGGCCGGCACGTGCAAGGTCAGCAGAGGGGAGGTCGGGCTGCCTGAGGTGCCGGTGGCAGCTCTCCTTCCTCACCCACCGGCTCAGCTGCTGCGTGCGACGGACAGCTGACCCAGCCTGTGGCCTTGGCGATAGTGGGGAAACTGAGGTCTGGAGGCAGAAGGAACTTGCCAGGGTGCACGTGGTGTCGAGTCCAGGAGGGGCATCGCCCATTTCTGAGCCCAGAGCGGCTCCGCTGTCCCTGCACTAAGGGACTGGCGGCTGCCGTCCCTCCCCAACACGCGGCCAGCACCCTCTCCCAGAGCAGGGAGGGGACCCCGTGGGCTGTGGCACGGGCTGGGGTCGGTGGGGGAGGTTCACGGTGGGTTCTCGTACCCCTCACCGTGACCTCCGGTGAGTCACTTACCCTTATAGCCTGGGTCTTCCCCGCCGGAAGCTGGGGGTCCCAGTGCCGGCCTGGCAAAGAAGGGGTGAAGCAAGGGCTTAGTGTCGGCTGAAGCCTGGATGTACGTGGTTCTGGGTGGCTCCGTCCCCAGCCCTCCCTGCCCAGAGCTGCAGGGCCCCAGGGCCAGTGGGGGCCCAGGGTGGGAGGAGGGGGAGGGAGGCGGCCTGAGAGGCAGCAGTGACCCGTCTGGTAGTGTCACCGTCCTCGTGCGGTGAGGAGGCACCAGGCGACGGGCAAGCACCCCCACCCCTGGGGGATGGAGAGAGTGACTTCTCCCCTCCACAGCCCCCTCCTCTTCCTTCCGCTGAGGTCTGTGGGGTTCTCCCTGAAAGGCAGGGGTTGGAGAGGAGGAGGGCCTGAGAGAGGGCAAAGACCCAGGATGTGTCCAGGAGGGAGAGCCAGGCCCCCCGCCAGAGGCCCCCGGGGGTGAGCGGCGGCTGTGGCCATGACAGGAGCAAGCAGGCAAGCCCGGAGTCCACGGGAGCCACGCCGGGCCGCTCAGCCACACGGGCACAGCGAAGGCCCCAGTGGCACGCGGCGCCCGGCCCGGTGCTGCCCATCCCTCCCTGCTCCGGCCAGGCTGGGGGAGGAGGCCCCCTGGCCCCCTACAGGTGGACACACTGGCAGGAGGCAGACATGGGCGGACCGGGCAGGTGCCTGGGAGACAAGCCAAGCCCTACGTCAGCCGCCCAAAGCCCAGGCTGGGCAGTGGGGCCCGGCCGCAGCATGCCCAGGGTCCCAGTCTCCCAGGGGGGCTCACCCTATCCCTTCTTCTGCTCTTCTTCCAGCTACTGCTGAAGCCACAGGCCCGCGTCAGGGCCCCGAACTTTAGGAGCCACTGCTGCCCTCGAGATCATCGGAAGCGTTCCCCTCCTGCTGCCCTGCCCCCCACCCCCGGCTCCTGCCCCGCCCGGCCCCGCCGTTGCCGGACCCTGGCATGTCAAGGCCTGGCCCGCGCCTGCCTGCCCAGCCCGCGGAACCCCGGCGGCCCCGCGAGCTAGGATGAGGGGCCAGGCCGCCGCCCCGGGCCCCCTCCGGACCCTGTGCCCCCCGCTGCTGCTGGTGCTGCTGGTGCTGGGGCGCCGGGCGCGGGCGGCCATGGGGGCAGACGCGGGGCCCGGGGTCGAGCCGTGTGCCACGCTGGTGCAGGGCAAGTTCTTCGGCTACTTCTCGGCGGCTGCTGTGTTCCCCGCCAACGCCTCGCGCTGCTCCTGGACCCTGCGCAACCCCGACCCTCGGCGCTACACGCTCTACATGAAGGTGGCCAAGGCGCCCGCGCCCTGTGGCGGCCCTGGGCGCGTCCGCACCTACCAGTTCGACTCCTTCCTGGAGTCCACGCGCACCTACCTGGGCGTGGAAAGCTTCGATGAGGTACTGCAGCTCTGTGACCCCTCGGCGCCCCTGGCCTTCCTGCAGGCCAGCAAGCAGTTCCTGCAGATGCTGCGCCAGCAGCCACCTCTGGACCGAGGCCCCCGGCTGCCGGGGGGTCCCCCGGGCCCCAGCGACGACTTCTCCGTGGAGTACCTGGTCGTGGGCAACCGCAACCCCAGCCGGGCCGCCTGCCAGATGCTGTGCCGCTGGCTGGATGCCTGTCTGGCGGGCAGCCGCAGCTCCCACCCCTGCGGCATCATGCAGACCCCCTGTGCCTGCGTGGGCGGGGACACCGGCGACTCTGCCCCCGGCTCCCTGGCCCCCCGCGGGGACGTCTGCCTGAGGGACGGCATGGCTGGCGGCCCTGAGAACTGCCTCACCAGCCTGACCCAGGATCAGGGCGGGGATGGCGCAGCAGGTGAGTGCCCGGCTGGGAGAGGACCTCCACTGGCTCTCTGGGCAGAGGGCGGGTGGGGGGAGAGGGTCATCTCTGCAGGGCTACCCCGGTCACCTGCCTCTGGAGCGGTCACCTGCCCCCAGAGCAGTCACCAGCCCCCGGCACGGTCACCTGCCCCCGGCGTGGTCACCTGCCCCTGAGCGGTCACCAG